CTAGGCTAAGGCATCACAAATCAGGGTACTCTAGTCCTAATAGGAATACCTAGCCTACTTTAGCAAGAGAATACATCATAACAATCTCATAATCATATAGTATAAGGGTATTTTGGGAAATCACCATTCGGGCGCTGACTGATCGTACACACGTTTCTCCTCTGAATTTCTCTAGAAATCTTTTACTTTTAGAAAATTTGGTTTTCTTTTTGAAAATATTTTCCAAATTCTCAGTTTGAGTTCAAATACTCCCGAACGTGTACCCGAATCCCTCAAACCAAGGCTCTAATACCAACTTGTAACACCGTAAATTTCAAAACAAAATTTTCAAATTTTATAAACCATAATCCACTTAATATTCATAAAACAACCATATTTGAATTTCAATCCAAGTAGTACAAAAATCCCAAGATCTCAAAATCATAAATCCCATGCGTGTGTACTGATCAAGCCGGCGCCTTCCCACGATCGTCACTAGTACCTGAAACAAATAACACCAAACACTGTAAGCACAAAGCTTAGTGAGTTCCCCAAAAGACCACATATAACACATATTAGCCACTCGAGGCTATAACTCTGTGGGTCCGTGCACCCAAACTCTGTGAACCCTCAGGTTCTAACTCTGTAAACATGCACAACATAAATCACAAAGAATAATGCAGCGCAACACATAACACAAATATAACATACAAGCACTGTACCACATAACTCTAGTTACCTACTCAAGGTATGTATAGTGAGAAGACTCACCTCGCGTATCTCGGTAACTCGCAAGTCCCTGAAATCACTCGTGCTCGATCTCCCGATCTATAGTCCTCCTATAATACAATACATCTCTAAATAACACTTCACAACTAAGGTTGACTATCCCTTAACAAGTCAACATAGGTCAACACTGGTCAATGGTCAACGGTCAACTTTGACCGGACTCGGCGAGTGCACTATAGCGACTCGGCGAGTCTATGCGCATACACTGATTTCCCTGGGATCCTCTCTTGACACGACGAGTATTCTCCTAGCTCGACGAGTTCCACCTGGCATGAGTTGTGGGGCCTCCACGACTCAACTCGCCGAGTCTCAAGAACAACTCGGCGAGTCCCAGCTTGACTCAGTCCACCTGTCAACCCACTCTGACTCTCCCTGACTCACTGAGTCAATCCCTCAACTCGGCAAGACCACTCGCTGAGTGGTGCTGGGCAATCTTCATGCTACTCGCCGAGTCTGTTCTTCGGACTTGGCGAGTCCATGCCATGCAACGCCTCAAACTCACTCCTGAGGTTAGATCTGTTCCATACATTCATAGATCTGGCCTCCCCAAGTATGATAATCACGTAAAGTCCAAACCTTGGGGCTCAAACAACAACTATTTGCTCATAAATGATGTTTTAGCCCCATATCTCATAACTCTAGGCCAATACTCTCATGAACACTCATAAAGCTTAAGGAATACAGCTCTTCTGGACCTCTATGGATCTCATCTCAAGCCTTATCATGATTAGGGACGAAATGGACATCAAATCTAGCCAACAAAGGGGTCAAGAAACCCTAAACCCCCATGTTCATCATAAAAACGAAAGAGGAAGCCAAGATATACCTCCAAGATGATGCTCTGAGCTCCAAAATCGCAGAATGTCCACTTCCCTTGCCTCTTCTTAGCTAGAATCTCCTTTTCCTTGCCAAACCAAGCTCTAAAGGTCAATAATGGCCTATTTTCTCTCCTAAAACGTCAAATCTCTTTAGGGTTTCTCTATAGGGGTTGGTGGCCGCAAATGATGGCCATAAGCCCCTTTTAATAGGTCTCAAACCCTGGGAATTAGGGTTTCATCACACAGCGTGGACTCGCCGAGTCCAGACGCGAACCCGCGTCAAGAATCGCGATCCTACTCGATGAGTTTGAGCTCCAGCTCGCCGAGTCCACTCACAATTTTCCAAAAAAACACACCAATAATAAATACCTGGAAATTCCGGGCTGTTACAGTTTTATTCTTAATTCATTAAATTATAATAATTAAGAAAATAAACACATAATTCACATAATTCATATAATACTCAAATATTTCATCATTAATACTTCAAAAAGAGTTACATTGGTTAACCTAGACTATTATATCAATGATAATGCCTAGTCTGGAAATGCGGACATTACATATTGTAACCCTTCTCTATTATATCATTGATTACCCATCTTATGTTCTTCATTTATATTTTTGTTATCGTTAAATATCAAGATCCTTTTATTTCGCAACTAGTCGATCGTACAAATGGGTTCCTACAGATATGTAGCCGATTCGCTTAGATTCACTTTCATTTCTATATTCTGCTTGTCTGACATCTACCGTCTTCCTTATAGATTTAGAGATGTCCAAGTCCTTAACTCATTGTCTTAGGATGAAGGACGACTAGAGTTGAAAATAAATTTCAACAAATTGGAAGACATTTTTAGAAAAATAAAGTAATGGCTTTTGCTGTGAAATATGTTTTGAATCGACTTTGGTATGAATTTTGTTAGGATCTAAACTCGTTTAAATAGATTATGAAAATGAAGTAGGTGAAAGATCTAATGAATTTAAGTGGTGTAAGGGTAAAACAATATGTGAGAGATCCAATCAATTTTAGTGGTAGATATGATAATAAAGTATGATATGATAATAAAATGACCGGTGAAGGTAAAATGATATGTGAGAAATATAATCAACTTTAAGAAATAGTAAATCGCGTCATTTGAGTGGCCCACATGAACCTGCCTAAGGCCCATGTGAGAGATCAAACAATGAACAATAACAATATTTTAGAAGTGTAATTGTCTGAACTATAGACTTCTTATGTGAAATCTCGCTGCTCAACCACCAGGTTTCCATCGCTAAGACAATCTAATCAACTTTAGTGTTAAGTGAAATGATAAAGTGATATGTGAGGGTAAATTGGAGATGAGAGGTTGGATTTATAACAATTATCTAAAAACAATAAAAACTAACTCCAAAGTGGTAATAATCGTGACTATTATTCCGAAATAGGAACTTTAGAATCCAAGTCTAACTCAGAAAAAAAAGATCATTTTGCTAATACTAGAAAAATGATTATATTTGTTCAACACATCGTTTATAGTAGTTAGTTTAATCGATTTTTTGCATAGTTAATAAAAAGACAAATAATATAAAATATAAAATTATAACTTAAAAGTAGGTTAGACTGACCATGATGGATTTAGAAACAATGAGTACAAAGCGTGTCAAATTTCAAAAATATGGAAAAAAACTGTAATTTCCTCTAAACAATAGGTCGACAAAATAACGAAACACTTGGTCGACATACACAAAAGAAAAAGAAAAAGAAAAAGAATTAAACAAAAATGCTTTAAAGATGTTCAGTGTGGTATCAGTGTGGTATTAGGTTGTTCAAAAACGATTATGTAGCCAACTCGTTTAGATTCACTTTCAATTTTATGTACGCTACTTGTCTAATATCTACTGACTTCCTTATAGATTTAGAGATGCCCAAGTGCCTAACTCATTGTTGGAGGATGAATGATGACTAGAGTTGAAAATAAAATTCAATAAATTGGAAGATATTTTTAAAAAAATAAAGTAATGATTTTTGCTGTGAAATATGTTTTGAATTGATTTTGGTATGAATTTTGTTAGCATCTAAACCGGTTTAAATAGATTATGAAAATGAAGTAGGTGAAAGATCTAATTAATTTAGGTGGTGTGAGGGTAAAACAATATGTGGGAGATCTAATCAATTTTAGTGGTATGTATGATAATGAAATGGTATATGATAATAAAATGATAGGTGAAGGTAAAATGATATGTAGAAAATATAATAAACTTTAAAAAATAGTAAATTACGTCATCTGAGCGGCCACATAAATATATCTAAGGCCCATGTGAGAGATCAAGAACAATAATAATATTTTAGATGTGTCATTGTTATTGTTTGAACTATAGAAATCTTACCACTCAACCATTAGGCTTCCATTACAATCTAATCAACTTTAGTAGCAAGTGAAATGATTAAGTAACATGTGAGGGTAAATTGGAGATGAGAATTTTGATTTACCATAATTATGTAATAACAACAAAAACTAACTCCAAAATGGTAATAATCATGACTATTATTCTGAAATTGAAACTTTGGAATCCGAGTCTAACTAAAAAATAGTGTCATGAAAAAAATGATCACTTTGCTAATACCAAAAAAATGATTATATTTGTTCTATACGTCATTTATAATGGTTAGTTTAATCGATTTCTTGTATAGTTAATAAAAAGACAAATAATAGAATATATAAAATTATAAGTATGTTGGACCGACCATGATGGATTTAGAAACAAGGAGTACCAACCGTATCAAATTTTCAAAATATGGACAAAAACTGTAATTTCCTCCAAATTATCGGTCGACAAAATAATGAAACACTCAGTCCACATACGGAAAAGAAAAAGAAAAAGAATTGAACAAAAATGCTTTAAAGATGTTCGGTGTGGTATCAGATTGTTCAACAACGATTGTGTAGCAATGCAGGTGATGACAGATTAAAGTAAAACCCATCTCAATCTCTCAATTTCGTAGCTACACCTTTTCTTTCATCCATTAAAATATCCCACAAAATTTCTTTCTTCAAATATTCAGACTTTCTGCTTCACTACTTCCTGCTCATCTATTTTCACTGGCGGAGTTGATGTTTCTTTCCTTAGTTTGATTGGGTAAATCTCTGATACATATAATACGATTGATTCTATTTTATTATGCTCTTGCTTGTTTCCTTTTTTATGGGGATTGATTTATGTATCTTATTGGATCAATAGATAAGTGGGTTTGACGAATAATTGTTGGAATCTTTCAAAATTTATCTCAGGGGGATCAAGAAGTGGATCGACACCGTTTGTTGTGGATAAACGTATAAAATCTGATCATACAAGTCATTATCTTAATTGATTTCTGCTGCTTCTGCTGCTGATTCCCACTGCGCGTTCTTGGTGTTTGTGTGTGTAAGAGAGATGGGACTATGTGGATCGAAGGCAAAAGGGTGCGTGGGCGTAGGTCATAAAGAACATGGAGATGTTCCAGATGGTGAATTAGCACCAAAAATTAACGCAAGAACACATGGCAGAAAACGAAGAAGACGAATTGGTAGGAAGTCGAAGACTGATGCTGCAAATAAGTATTCATCTCGGAACAAAATCGATCCTTCTGCTGGTGCATCGAATTCCATGGATCGTCGCTCATTCCGTAACCCAACATTTCAAGGTAATTCATAGAAACCCTAATTTGTTCGATTTCATGATTGCAATTAGGGTTTTTTCCTGTTAATCATCCCTTAGCCGATTAAAGCTACCACATAATTACTTCTTGCTTCTCGTTATGATCATGAATGCATTATTATCAAAAATCAAACCTGCAATTTAGCTACATTCTGCTGAAATTCACCAAATGAATCTTTCTACTACCAAGAAAAGTTTGTCCAATTTATGTTTCAGTTTAGAACGTAATAAGTGAGCTTTGAATACTTTTTCAGTGGACCCTTTGTTAAAAACTAAGCTACAAGTTCATCTTTAAGGTATTTTTTTTTATTTTTATTTTTTTTAAAAACTATATGTTCTTGTTATTGAATTCAGAATGTTGGTATGATACTGCAAATGGGATCGATTCTGATGGAGATGAAGATTTCTACAGCACACAAGATGGTAATAATTAATAAGTGTTTTCATTTTCTTAATATTTTTGGATTTGGGCTAAATGCATCAAATATCAATTTGTACTTTTATGTACTTTTGTATTACATTATCCTACTTTCATTTCTTTCTATTATAGTATTATAGAAAGAAACAAAAGTAGAATGCTATAATAAACAAATCAATTAAAGTACATTGCTAATTTGCATGTTTATTAATCACACAGATATCATGTCTCAAAACGGTTCCATTAGTGCATCTGTAACTCCAAGATTTTCAGATCAAGTACAACAAGGATCTTCAACCTTCTCTACATCCGATTCACTAACAAAACCAAATGAAGCATCACAATCTTCCATAGATGGAGCATCTACTTTATACGCAAATGGGTCCCACAATATTGGAATTTTACAAAATAATTGCCTCCCATGTCTAAATTGCACCACCTCAACAGATGTAAAGAGTAGTAAATCACCATGTTCAAGTCCTCCTCCAAGTGCAAAAAAGAAAGTTACATCTATGCTTTCTTTCAAATGGAGGGAAGGCCAATCAAATCTTTCCATATGTAAGACTCTTATGCCTTAATATAATTTTATTTTATTTTTTGTACACAATATTTTAAAAGTTTGCCAATTTAGTTTTCTAATCGTACATCCATTCGTTCAAGCGAAAATCAAATATGATGACGGTCAATGGAATGGAATAACTCATTCCATTCCAACGTTGTATGATTCCATTCCGTAATGTGATGGTGTTGTGTTTCAGTCTCCCCAAAAGCCGTGATTCAAAGACCAAAAGCCGGCTCACAGGTTCCATGTTGTCCAATTGACAAGAAAATGTCCGATTGCTGGTCCCCACTTGAACCATCTACTTTTAAAGTCCGCGGACATAATTATTTAAGGTATAAGATTCTTACTTCCTATAAAATATAAATTATTATTATTATTAAATGTGATTATTAATCCTAATAGTGTGTTGTTATTGTTTTTTTGTTAGAGATAAAAAGAAAGAAAATGCTTCAAATCATGCGGCTTTTTATCCGATTGGAATGGATGTGTTTTTATCTCCACGTAAAATTGACCATATCGCCCGTCTTGTTGAGCTTCCGAATTTCGAATCTTCCGGAAAAGTCCCTCCTTTACTTGTTGTAAATCTTCAGGTATACTTTCTTTTAATAATTTTCATAAATAAGTAATATGTTAAACACTATTACATAAATTATGATTTATGATCCAATTTCCTCAGATACCCCTCTATCCTCCCGCTTTATTCCAACATGAATACGATGGAGAAGGAATGAGCTTCGTGTTTTACTTCAAGCTCTCGGAGAACTACGAAGAACTCCCTCCCCATTTTCAAGAAAACATAAGGGTATAATCGTCTTTTTTTTTTAAATCTTATTATTTTGTAAGATAAAAAAAATTGATTTTTTGTTTTTGTATCAGAAAATGATCGATGATGAGGTGGAAAGGGTTAGAGGTTTTCCGGTAGATACAATTGCACCATGTAGAGAAAGATTAAAGATTTTGGGAAGAGTGACAAATTTAGAAAATCTTCAATTAAGTGGGGGTGAAAGGAAATTAATGAATGCTTACAATGAAAAACCTGTTCTTTCACGTCCTCAACATGAATTTTATCTGGTAAGCTATATATCAGTGTTTCTTTTTGACTTTATACATAAAGTACGACTTATTAAAGAAATCAATCAAATCAATCAGGGTTTCTCCTTAAAGTTAAAATAAGTTGTAACTTTTTACAAATTTGCCCTTTTTTTTTAATTAATTTCAGGGGGAGAACTATTTTGAGATTGATTTGGACATGCATAGATTTAGTTACATATCTAGAAAAGGTTTTGGAGCATTTCAAGAGAGGTTAAAGCATTGTACTCTTGATTTTGGGCTCACAATCCAGGTTATTATTTTTGAATTTTTGTTTATTATATTTAGTTTTTTCAACATTTAAAATGATTATAAATATTGATTTTTTTGACTACAGGGGAACAAGGCCGAAGAGCTGCCAGAATGCATGTTGTGTTGCATTCATTTGAAAGAAATTGATTACAATAATTACAATCTTCTTGGACTATAAATCAGGGTTTTTTTTTTTTTTTTGGTATTTCAAGAATAGATATTGAAATAAAAGTGATATATAGAAAATGATGTACAGCTTCTAAACTAGATTTTGGAATATGTAATTGATTAGAATAATGTTGGTGGTGTTGGAGTATAATGTTGTTTTCGTTCAAACAAGAAGCTCAATAAAAATCCAAGTTAAGTTTTTACAAAACCAAACTTTGTTAATAATAATTATTATTATTATTATTATTGTTTTTCGTGTACTTGTGTTGTTCATACATCTCTACCTACTACCTACCCTTCCACCAATTAATTAAAGAGACCAAAAAAATGAAAGAGGTGATCGAAAGTGTATGGAAAGAACCAACACATTTTGTCCTCATCCCTACGACCTTATGTCGATGACTGTGATCTAAATATATTATATATTATATGGCTTTTTTTTTTTGTTTTATTTGTACATGTATTATTATTAAGCAAAAATGGACAAATGTGTCGCTGTACTTTTATACCTTTCCTAATTATGTATTTGAACGAGAATGTTTATCAACATAATGGTTATTAAAAAATTAATAATATCAATAATAAACGAACATTTTATTATTAACTTATAAAATTAATAATATCAATAATAAATAAACATTTTATTATCAACTTTTATGAGTTTTTTTACATCTTTGTTGCTAAAATCCCTCCAAACCTTGTTAAGAGTATGAACTCGATATCGTTATCAATATGATATACGCATCTGACTTACAGACATATCATACTGAAAGTACCTTCTACTGGTTAAGTGGCTTGTTAATATTGTTGAGTTAGGATCTTAAGCACGAAGAATAAAACTATAAGTGTGAAATTAATGTACATAATATGATAACTATATTTTAGTGGTAGCTTAGCAGTTAGCATATATGTTATTGTTGTTAGGAGAATGGTGTCCATAGCCACAACAAGTTTACTATAAAAATTAGTGTCCTTTTGGGTTACACACAAAAACAAATATAATCGGAACCGAAAGAGGAGTTGATTATTCTTAAAAAAGATCATGGGACGTGGTGATCAAACTTACTTATGGTTTGACACGTGGTTAGGGGCAGATAGACACAACGATAAATTTCCTATTTTGTTTGGTTTAGATTCCAATAACCATTTCAAGGTGGTTGATGAATCAGTTTCTGTGAGACTAGATTGAAATGGAATTGGTGTTGGAAGGCAGTTGTAGCGTCCCAAAAATTCATAGTAAAATTTTTGTTTTTAAAACAATAAACCATACAAACGAGTTGTTCCAAAACCGATCAAGGTGAATGCGGTGCAGTCACGTCGTGTCCTTCCCTTTCGTACCGGAAATACCTGAAATAATAAACATAAAGTGTAAGCACAAAGCTTAGTGAGTTCCCCAAAGTACCACATACCAAAACATACAGTTGGGTTTAACCCTGGGGTTTAACCAACCCGAATAGCAAATATGGGCCCCCGCCCTAGAGCTTTGCTCTAAGGTATATTTCAACACAAATAATCAAACATGGGCCCTCACCATGGAGCCTCGCTTTGGGGTTTATTTCAACCCAATCATGCCAACACATATAAATCACATAACAACAATTATTTCATGCAAGGGTCACAAAGACAGCTAGCGTATAACAAATCCTGGTGGGTCGACATTGGTGCCTTCGACCCACGGATACAGTGAAAAAACTCACTTCACAGTCTGAAAGAATAGCTGCACCGATCACTACTTTAAAAGCTATCTCTGTCGGCCACCTATACAATTAACAGGAACCCAAATCTTAAACTATAAATCAAATTACCCAAAATGCCCTTAGGTCAAACTTGGTCAAAATCCTGGTCAAAGTCAAAAGTCAACCGAGTCGATCAGGTCAACTCAGTTGAGTACGTTGGGCGTACTCAAGATGTACGCGGGGCGTACTACGCCTTGACCAGACGTCGAGGGGCTGACCACATATGTGTAACATACCCTTTGGTACGCCTGACGTACACGATTGCCAACCTCCCAATCCATTAATAGCTTAATCCTTTAAGCTACTTAGTCCAAAATCTAGATCTAACCTTAAAATAATATCCTTAACCATAAAGTTTCCAACTTTATGGTCTTTCATGGCTATTAAGTCTTCAACATCCAAAAACCTTAACTTCTTAACCCATTAAGACATCCAAGACCATGCATGGAGGAAAACTAGGGACCAAGGTCACATTTTTATGGTTCCTAATAACTCCACAATGGATAAAGTTTTCAACTTTATCCATTAGAATGGTCAAAACAACCAAGATCTAGTCTTTAAGTCTCAAAGGGACCAAAGGTGCATCTTTTTCAACTTAATCCATTTAGTCTAAGCTCCAACCTTTAGATTTGAATCAATATGATGTTTAGATGAATAAAGTTTCCAACTTTATCCATAGGTCACAAACTTTCAAGATCTAAAATTTATGCACTAAAGTGACCAAAAGCTCATAACACCCAAAACTAGTTAGATCTAACAAATTCATCATCAAGATTCAAGCTTTATACCTTTAGAAGAAAGATCAAGGTGAACAACGTCTGGATCTACAAGCTCTAATGCAACCAACAGTTCTCCAATGAGCTCCTTCTTCTCCAAGATACACCAAGAACACTCTAAAGCACTCAAGAATACCTTCTTTTGCTCACAAGGCTCAAATTAGGGTTAGGGTTTCAAGGGAGGGTGTTGGAGATATGGAGGCTGAGAATGGACTGGGTTTGGGCAAGTTAAAGAGCTTAAATAAGGCTCAAACCATGAAAATAAGGTTTGTGCACTGATCAGGTTCACCCAGTGTACTCCAGGTATGCCTAGTACGCCAAACATACATCATGTACGCCCAATGTACTAGACTAAGCCCAAAACCTTCCTAACTTCAAACGGTCATAACTTCTTCATTCCAACTCCATTTTCGACGATCTTTATATCCACGGAAAGATATTGAAGAGCCCCATAATATTATCTAGATATCTTGGATTAAAAACTTCCTGAAAAAATCCATATTTCATGCAAGAAGTCTGAAACATCACTTTTCCCATTTTACCCTTTGACTCCAACACAAACCAACTCTTAGATCCCATAATCTACATTACCCACATCCAAATGGGTCTAAACCTCTCTTTCCTAAAGCCTGAAGCCTTATGATACTTGATCTTTGGGTCACAACCCCGAATTATGAAACGACTCGAAACAGGGTGTTACAACAACCGAGAACAGAAGGTGAATTTGATGAACTTCAAAGGTTTATGTAGGATTTAGTGAGGTTTGTGCTTCCTCCTATGGGGGGTAAATGGGTGAGGAGGAGGATAAATGGGTATGGGTTGCCGATACTTCTGGATCCTTTTCAGTTAGCTCTTTGCACAAGATTTGGGATTCAAAATTCTTCGCTCCCCTCTCTTACATTTTTTTTGAATAATTGGATCCCTATTAAAATCAAAATTTTTGGGTGGAGGAAAATTCTAAAATAGTTACCGTCCAAGATGGAACTCCTTAAAAGAGGGGTAGTTGTGGTATCTAGTATTTGTAATTCTTGCAATCTTGTATATGAGAATATGAAGCATCTGTCATTGACTCGTTTCTAGGCTCGGGAGTTTTGGAATCTTATTGGTTCTTGTTGTGATATAGATTTATATCTCATCACTAATTTAGAACATCTTTTCTCAACTACATAGTTATCAATCACTAGTGCAATGTAAAATGGAACATGATGTGTTCTTGGCTTCTTTTTGGTTCATATGGAAAGCTAGGAATAACAAGGCTTTTAACAACGTTTCCTTACCCCCTCCCCAGGTAGTAGAAGAGATTAAGGTGAATTCCTTCTAATGGATTAAGAATATAAGGAAAGTGAATTCTTTGAATTGGCATGTTTTGTAACATCCATAAAAATCAAGCCAATTTAAAACTTTTTCAAGCATTCAAAAACCATTATTTATTACACAATGTTTTTAAAATAGTTTCATATTAGAATATCCCATAAATCCAAATCATAAAATGTGAGGAAATGCACGATCACACATTCGCCTTCCCGCGATCATCTGACGTACCTGAAACAAAATCCAAAACTGTAAGCCTTAAGCTTAGTGAGTTCCCCCAAAATACCAACGCCATACAACATAACCATATCATAGAAAATAAATAGCATGCATATTGAGACATCAGCATGACTAGACCACTTTGTAGGGTCATCAACCAACCTGGATCGCTCTTCGAGCCATCGACACGCCTGGACCGCCTCGCGGGATTTCATCCTATCCGGACCGCTCGCCGGGCCTCCGGCCTGACTAGTACACCCTTACCGGGTCTACAGTCTATCTGGGACACCCTGGGTATGTTGGCCTAGAGCACAAAGCAAAGACTGCCTCAACCCATCCTAATCACACAATCAACACATAAATATCAAATGCTAGCATATACAAACGGTCAGACCGATCTAACAAATCACTAATCATAGCATCATCCTATAAACCAGGATACCGACCTAACATGTCACTAACATAGCATCATCCTATATACCAGGATACCGACCTAATAGGTCACTAAGCATATCAACATGCAATAAACTCATATACAAATTTGAAAAGGGTCGACATTGGCGCCTTCGACCCAGTTAGTATAGTGAGGACAACTCACCTCACAATATCGAGTTGTAGTGATAAGATAAAACTCTCGAATCACAACCACGAATTCCACCACCTATAACCACCATAGGACCAAGCCCATCAAAATCCCAAATTACCAAAATACCCTTAGAAGTCCAACTGGTCAACCCTTGGTCAAAGTGAATGTAACAGCCCGGAATTTCCAGGTATTTATTATTGGTATATTTTTGGAGAATTGTGAGTGGACTCGGTGAGTTGGAGCTCAAACTCACCGAGTAGGATCGCGATTTTGGACGCGGGTTCGCGTCTGGACTCAACGAGTCCAAGAGTGGACTCGGCGAGTCCACGCTGTGTAATGAAACCCTAATTCCCAGGGTTTGAGACCTATTTAAAGGGCCTTATGGCCGTCATTTGTGCTCACCAATCCATAAAGAGAAACCCTAGAGTGCTTGAGCGTTTTGAGAGAGAAAGGAAGCCATTCTTGACC